AGGCTGACTGCCCCAGTCTGGACATATGCTCTGCCACAAGTACTTCCGGAGCAACCACCTGGAGAATCTAGTCCTGTCGTATTTGCTTACGCCCACCCGGAGGAATCTGCCCCCACCGAATCAACAGCAGAAATAAGAACTACGGGGCTGTTGAAGGTCAAGATGTGGCTCGAAGTTGTCATCACCTTGTTGCAACGAGAAACAGACTGGGATGTTTACAGCTACATTCTTACTCATATTGGACCTCAACTTGGCAACAAAGACTTTTTCCGAGATGCTATCCCTCAGATTACGCTCCTTCGCAGCATTTTGTGTGATCAGGTCAAGAATGGAACTTTCCACGAACCTCCTGAGACTACGGGACTGAAAAAGAGCGATGTAGCTGCCTGTATCTTCGATGCGCTTTGCATGCTTGTCAGCTATCACGAACACTTTGCCAAGAGCGAAGAGGATGACCTCGTCCGAGCTTTCATGCAGGGTATCATCGGATCATGGGGTGGTACATCTCGTGGGTGCATTCAAGCACTTTCACTCTGTTGCTATGAAATCCCCATGTCAGTCACGAAATCCTTGAACAGTATTCTTGATAGGATGTCAAAGGTGATTACCATGTCAAACATTGCTGTCCATATCTTGGAGTTCCTGGCTCTACTTGCACGATTGCCAGCTGTTTACGTCAACTTACGTGAGGAGGAGATCCGCACTGTGTTTGGCATCTGCATTCGATTTTTGCAGACATCTCGAGAGCATCGGTATAAAGCCGCTGAGTTGGCTGCAAGGGCCTCTGTGTCAACCCAATCTCCTCAGTCTAAGCTCGGTGCCGGGGCCAAGGAAATATCCGCCCATGCAGCTGAAGCCATCGAGACCTCCCAAGATGGGATGTCCAAGTATATCTCGAATCTCACCTACCATGTCATGGTCTTTTGGTTCTTGTCTCTGAAGCTCCAGGATCGACCCAAACACGTGAACTGGATCACCAGCAGGCTCATCTATCACGACGAACATGGAAAAGAGGTGGTGGAAGAACAAAGCCAAGTATTTATTGATTTGATGCAGCGCGTTGCTTATTCGGATCTCGGAGAGACCATCCCCTTCGAAACCTTCCCGCCTTCCCCTGAGGATGGCCCAGTTGCAAAGAAGTCCTGGATTGTCGGCATGAGTATCGTCACCGTCGAGAGCGCCGGATTATCTGGATTGTCTCAGATTACGAAGCGCCAGGCATCGGGTACTACATACTCTGTCTATCAACAGCGGACGGCCCCAGTTCTGCCGCATCAAGTCCCTCCAACTCCAGATGCCCATTTACATTCCGACTCGATGCGCACGGCAGTCCTTCCGAGTCATATCATGCTTCAATTGACCGCCACTGCCTTCCCTACACCTACTGTCATGCAGCCTATCCCGGTTCCGGAAGACGATATCACTCGACGTGCAATCAATAACTTTGACCGCACCGACATTGTGGACGGTCACCGGATCGGCATTGTTTATGTTGACAATGGCCAGACAAAGGAGGCGGATATTTTAGCCAACACTGGTGGTTCTGCGGATTATGAAAACCTGCTGTCAGGATTGGGAACAAAAGTGTCACTTCGAAACCCTCAATTCAATCCGCAAGGATTGTATGCTGATACTGATGGAGAGCACACCTACGCTTGGCGGGATCGTGTTACTGAAATTGTGTATCATGTTGCAACAATGATGCCTACGGACTTTGACCGTGACCCGGCCTGCATCAACAAAAAACGAAACCTTGGCAATAACCACGTCACAATCGTGTTCAATCGATCCAACTTGCCCTTTAACTTTGACACAATCCCATCCGAGTTCAACTCTATCAATATTGTCATCACCCCATCGTCTCGGATTGCCTACGACGAGAGTGGCAATTACAATGGCGAGACGGACCCGCAAAAGCTCTACTACAGCGTACAGGTCATGAGCAAGGCCGGGTTTCCAGATGTGTCACCTGCTGCGACACCAAAGGTCATATCCGGCAAGAATTTGGCGGCATTTGTTCGCATTCTTGCCCTCAATGCGTCCGTCTTCTCGCTTGTTTGGAACAACAAGGGTGGCGAGCATACCTCGTCCTGGACCACCCGTCTGCGAGAAATCAAAAAAGTCCGCGAGCGGTCTCTGACAGCCCAAAGCCAAGGCTCTGATACCGCGGAAGGCGCTTATCCAGGTCTACGGCGGAACACGAAAGCCAACATCTTCTCGGAGGAACTACCTTCTCGTGCCCCTCAAGTACAGACCGATTTCGCTGCGGAATGGAACGCAGCGGCAGACACGAACATTGTCCAGAATTTGGATTTCTCACGCTGGGCTCGCTGATCCGTCTTTCTTGCCAATAGTCTTTGTGGTGGCAATGTTGGGCAAGATGAACCGTGTCTCTCTCGTCTTCTCCTTTTACTCCTCTCTACTCACTCACTCACTCCCATCCATTCTCCTCTTGCCTTACATTCCTCCCCCCTCTAAAGACAAATAACCGAATCCTTTCCCCTCTCGATGACCAATGACCCCCAGAAACGACTTCATGTACATCATCTTTTGTTTTTTCGTGATGCAAGACAATTGTCGCATTTGTGAATACCCCTTTCCCGCCCCAAAAGTTTTTTTTTTTTTGAATGTTGTCTTGCCTGTCAGCGACTCGTGATTAGGATTAAGGATCTATTTAGTGAAATAAATCAGTGTTTATACTGGACTTCACATGATGCTTTCTTTTTTGGCTGTTTCAACCCATGTGGCTCGGTTATTAGGCCTTGTTCATCATAATAGCCTCGAGTTCTAGCTAGTAGTGGATAGCTCACCATCGATAACCTAAGAGCCTACCTACCAGGTGACAGTGTCATGATAATAGTGAACAGCATAGCTGCAGCCTACAACACAGCTTCTACATCAGTTGATTGTGAAAACAAATGGTGTTTCTATATTCTAGCGGTATGATATGAAAGAAAGTGGCTCCGCGTTGTGTAATCAATCCAGTTGATTCCGTACACTAAAGGTACATTTGTCCACGTGCAGGCTTATTTGCACTTTCCGAAGGGCTTGTCCGCCAGTTGCTGTTATAGAACAGTTAGCATCTTCTTCTAGCTTTCGCAAATTGTTATATTCAGGCCCGTACCACACAGAGCTTGGATTCACAGTTACCCAAGCTTCCATCCTGCTTGCACTGTCCTCCGGAGGGGATCTAGTATTGAATTAGATGAGTTGAACGGGATATGACAGGTATGAAAGGATTCATACCAAGTTGGCCATGGAGAGGCCGACAAGGGCGAAAGCAGTGAGGATGGTGAAACGCATGACGGTAGAGGATTTGGAAGTGAATGAAGATTGTTGAAGATTATAGAAGACTTGTCTGTTGCGATGTAGCAATCCATGAGAACGGGGACATACTTATACCTATTTTCTGGGATCCTCTAGAACCGAGATCTTCTGTTGCATTACTTTGTTTGGTATACAACCATGCTCATCCCGATTAATCGTACCGATTAATTATAGACGGTCAATTTGGGGATTTTATGGGTCTGCAGAAACCTGATGTCGATCAATGACATGGTTCACCACGTCAATTGCTCTTCATCTTTAATCAACAGTTTTCCTGTGAGAACAAGTCACAAAGTACAAGGTCGACAAGGTGCCTTGCTATCAGTTCTAGATTTCTCAGCTACATTGACATCGTAAACAAACCACCTATTGACGCAGTTGCCGAGATTAAAGCGGTTAAGTTGTACATATGAACGTTACATTATAATTTCTGATAATGAAAAATATTCGGTCTCCGAAGAACTATAAAGACTAATAGAGGCCACTCTACCCGATATAGGGCTGTATATATCCGTGCCAAGACACGCCGAGCCATCTTCAGTTCCATGCTTCTTCGATATTGCAGGCCACTCTTGCTGTACTTTCATCCTATCTCTCTTACTGGCTATCAAAATGTCATCACAGGCAACCCATGTGGTAACTACCAGGACAGCAATACAATATATTCTCGTCAACGAGTCATAAAGCGAGCCAGAACCCCCGTGCAGCTGGCGGTGATCGAAAACAGAGCTTGAACACGCCGAAATTACCCAAACCAGCTTCACAACCTCAAGATTTGCACAATTAATCATGGGGACTGCACGATTATCCTACAATCACCTCCAACAGGTATCCCAAGCTAGACTATCAACAGTCTCGCGGGGCATCTATAGGTCCCGATGAGCCTCTCTCGCTTCATGATGTTCATGCCACCATTCAGTACCATCTATACCATCTAGCATAGCTCATCTTCAACCGGCGTCAGATCCTAGAATCGGGGTTGAGCCTGGCTTCTCAACTCGCAGACGGGTTTGAGGACCCGCATTGAAACAACAAGCCGTCCAATTATTCAAGTACGAAAAGCCTTCTGCCACTTTTTATCTCTCACTAGAGAGGTTTTCGGCGACGAGTCGAATTTGATGGTGGTAGCTCCAGGTCATACATTATAGCAAGTACAGTATCAGGCGAATTCTCTGCAACATAGGGCATGGGCTATGGTCCAGCTGCTGTGGTTAACCCACAAAGCGAAATATCAGGAGGCAAGGAACTTACAAGGCCGAGCCAAACTGGAACCTATTAGACTCTGAAATTTGGCCAAGAAGTCAAGATGATGTAGTTAATCTATTCGAGATCCCAACACATTGGTGAAATTGAAGGGAAAATACGTAGCCAAGTTTCGTCGGGCATTTATGCCGACTATAAATAACCGGTACCAATGAACATGTCTCAATTCGTGGGGATCTAGATACTAGATATATTCCTATAAATGATAGATCAGCGCAGGAATATATATAACTATAATATTAAAATACCTTTCAGTTCCCACTCCCTTCTCTTCAGGTTTATCACACTGTCATTTTTGAGAACTGCCTGTCACTACTCTTAGTTGCAAACCTCGCCAATCTTCTTTTCTATTCGTTCTCTTCATCACTTACTTTACATATTTACATTCCTATATCAATCTGGTATCTATAATGCTGGGCTACTTGAAGTATGCCGCTGCAGGCTTGGCCGCCGCGACTCTGGTCTCAGGCCAAACGTACAGCGAGTGCAATCCATTGAAAAGTATCTCACACTAAAGAATTCAAAACATAGTACCTTCTAATATGCTATAGAAACTTGCCCAGCCAATGTTGGTACAACCGAGTCGAGACTCACTTTCGACTTCACCAAGAGCCCCGGGCTAGATCAGTGGACGACTACTGCCGGCAACGTGAAAATAGGCTCGAACGGCGCGGAGTTTACTGTCAACAAGCAAGGCGATGCTCCCACCATTCGGACCAACTTCCACATCTTCTTCGGCGAAGTATCGGTCACCATGAAATCAGCCCCTGGCACTGGCATCGTCAGCAGTGTCGTGCTTCAGTCGGATGATCTTGACGAGATTGACTGGGTAAGTCATTAGACACCCATTCTCTCCAACATTCCTTAAATATAAACTCCATCTCCATTCCAGGAAGCCGTAGGTGGCGACACAACCCAAGTCCAGACGAACTACTTCGGAAAAGGAGATACCACAACCTACGACCGCGCAACCTTCGAGTCCGTTTCGACTCCCCAGGAGATATTCCACACCTACAAGGTAGTCTGGACCAAAGAAGCCACTACCTGGTCCGTTGACGGCAAGGTCCTCCGCACTCTCTCCTCCGACAACGCACAATCCGGCACCAGATATCCCCAGACCCCCATGAACGTGCGCATCGGCATCTGGGCCGGTGGTGACCCAACCAATGCAGAGGGAACGATTCAATGGGCCGGCGGCCTGACCGATTACAGCAAGACCCCTTACACCATGTATATCAAGGACGTCACTATCGTCAACTACAACCCGGCTGAGTCTTACACCTGGTCGGACCTAAGCGGCTCTGCTAAGAGTATTAAGTTCACTGGTTCTACTAACTCGACTTCCTCGACTACCTCGAAGCCTTCTGTTTCTGGGTCAGTTTTCACATCCTTCTGTTGACGCTATTTCTAACAAGCCTGAACCTAGTAGAAGCCTTATCACAGCTGCTAGCACAGCGAGACCGTCCAGCTCTGGCTCGATTTCTCGCCCCAGTGCCTCCTCCTCTTCTCCGGTTTTTAACGCGGCTTCAAACTTGAGCGCTGGTAACTTGGGCTTCTTGTCCGTCCTTGCGGTTGTCTCTGGGTTTCTTTTCTTGTAGATTGGTTAGTTGATATTGGATATCTATACATCGTCTGCTAATGTTGGCGATGAGTGTATCCAAATTAGGGAGGTGCTCGGAATTACGTCACGTCACTTCATGCTTTCCTTGTCTCCCGCTCTTTCCACTTTTCTCTTCGTCTCTTCTTCTCTTGTCTTAAGCCATATAGAGCCATTGTTCATCCCAGTAAGAGAATTGTACCCGATTCGATCCGTGAGCCATGGTGCAGATATTTAGGGTTGGTATCTGATAGCAAGGTAAATGTGTAGCTTGTGTTTTTGATCGACCGTGGTCATAATTATAATAAAGTATCTATGTAACTACCAACACATATGGTCGAACCAAAAAAAAAAAAGAAGGAGAAAGGAGGGAAATGTGACACAGAGCGCATGTACAAGTGAGAGAGCGAGTCGATGCGGAGAAGGGAAAGAAGGATGTGTGGGTTTTGCTCTGTACAAGGCTGTAGCCAGTAGGAGAAGTTTGAGATGGGCGAGGGAAAGAAAGACCTGGGGACAAAATTTCACATATCCAAGCATGTTCCATATCCAATCCGAGATTTGGGACTTATACTTCCCAGGCCATAATTCCTTTTCAAAACGCCATCACCAACCAAAGATCTCACCAACACTGAGGGTACTCCAGCGCACACCGCCGACAGCAACGATCATCAAGACAACATCAACAACAGCCAGCACCACCGAGCCCATCATGAAGCGAGGGCTGAAGATGCGGTAGAGCATGAGATGGCGTCGAAGATGGCCGGCCCACATCGTGGTAGCAAGATTGATAGTCGCCAAGTAGAGGATATGTGTTCCAGCAGCCTGTACGACATCGGAAAGGATGCGTGTGGCGGGGTTCTTGTTCGGGTTTGAAGCAGGGACACGGTCGTGAGTCTGGAGGGGACGTTTCCAGAGGACGGTGAGGGGGACAGCGATGGCGGCCAGGATCTGGGCACCGAAGGTATTGAGGATGACGAATAGTGGGGACCAGGGGTATTGGATTGTTGCGAGGGGGATGAAGGCTGTTTCCCACTGGATGCTAGAGAGGGTGGCCTGGTGGCCTGTTTTGAAGTAGTAGAAAGAGCCGAGGACGCCGAGGATGACGGGACCGATGGAGGAGTTTGTCATGGTTAGGCTGTTTGTGTCGAGGATTTCGAGGAGAGAGAGGATTTGCCAGAGGAGGAGAGCGATGGCGCCTTGGCCCATTGGCTTTTGCATGAGGATGATGGCGAGGGTGAAGTTGAGTAGTAGGAAGCAGAAGTGGGTGCCGTAGACGTTACCGAAGCCGAGGATTGTGACCGTTGTTCGTGGGCTTTGTTGCTGGCCGGCGACTATAGGGGTCGGTGGGCTGTTGGGATCTTCGATGGGTTTGCTCACGTTGATGCTGACGCAGGGCTTGGAGTAGAAGTATGCTGCAGTGCCTGCTGCGAACGCGAGGGCGAGAACAAACTGGGCTAGGAAGACGCGGACGAACTTGAGGGTTTCGTTGCTTACGGGCAGCCACTCACCGTCGTCGGCGCCTTCGAGGATCCAAAATAGGGAGGTGACGAAGAGACCGAAGCGGAAGGCAAAGCCGATCCATAGCGATGCGGCGCCTTCATAGGACTTGGAGCCGGCGTAGAAGGATCGTACGACGCTGGGAAGGAACAACGTGACCAGGAAAGGAATGGCAAGCTGCCAGGGAGCAGAGGTGGAAGAAGACGATGAAGCATAGTACGTAGAGCGGCAGAAGGGCATCTGTTCTTCGCGGCAGAGACGGGAGAAAGACGCGATTCGACCCAGGATCACGAACAGAATGGAGTGGTATACACCCAAGATGCGATCCGTGGTCTGCTTCTGTCGCATGGACGAGATACCTGCGCACACGCCGAATGTAGTGAGGAAGAAAAGAAGAATTTCATCTTCCCAGATGGTGTACGAGTTCGAGGCAAATCCAATCGACTGAGAAACGGTAAAGAAAAGCGCAAGCCATCCCCACATGCCGTTCGGAAGAGGCAGGGTTAGGTTCGCGGGCATCTTGACGAGAGCCGGCGTGGCGCCAAGGATGCTTCCAGCAGCAGCCAGTAGCACGGCTCCATCGACCATAGACATCTCAGTCAGGCCAGTCAAGCCAAACGCAGAACCGGTCATGGCACCAACACCAGCACCCACGCTTGCGAATTGAAGCAAACGAGACGTGAGTTGGGTTCGATCTGTCTTCAAGCCTCGGGCATAGATGACCAACAAGACAATACTAGTAAAGAGAATCACAACACCTTGGATCATGCTTGGCACGTCAAATTGAGCCCACAATCCACGGCAGATATCAAGAGTATGACGCTGGTACTTGCGGTAGAGTTCATTGCTAGCGCGGGCAGCGGTCGACTTGGACGAAAAGCCCTTGGAAGCAGACTTCCACTCCTCTTCTGCGGCAGTCCAAAGCAAAGCCGACTCTTCATCATCACCAGCACCTCTGGCAACCGCATATTGGTGCTGATACCTCTTGACCTGGGCTGCAGTCAACCGGTTGACAGTCGCCAGGTTTGCCCAGTTGTCCCCGCGTGCGCCAGAGAAACACTCTTCAATAGGCGATCCTAGGTTATTGAATGGAATGGGCATTCCAAGGAGCAAAGACAGCGTCGGAACAAGGTCGATTTGAGGTACGGACCTGTCGCGGGCGAATTGAGGCGGGAGGAGCGTGTTTTTGCTTGTACGTCCGAAGATACCACGCTTGGAATACATCCACAACGCGGCCTCAACCTCGTCATCAGACTCGCCGCCGTGGTCGCCCTTGATGTCCATCCCATGATCTCCCATGACGACCAGAAGAGTCTTATCATCGAGCGCATCAATGATATCGCGAACAACCCGATCCATTTCCTGGAGCTTGGATGCCATGGCAGCATGGTTAGGACCATATCGATGGCCTGCATGATCTACGCCGAGATAATGGCCAAAGATAACATCCCATTTCTTGCTGTTCTCCGGCCGGAGGAGCGGGAAGAGATGCTCCGTGACGCCATTGTCGACGGTATGCAAATCCCAGACGTTGAACGAGTCATACGCATGTGTGAGATTGGTATCAAAGTAGCCCGGAAACAACGCCTGCCAGGTATCATCACCGAGATGAACTAAGTTCTTCCCGGCGCTATGCAACTGTGCGACAAGATTATCCTCATCGATGGCGGTTCCGGCAAAGTTGGAGCCTGCTTCCAGGAAGGTGGGCAGGGTTCCGGTAGTCAATCCTTTCAGGCGGTTCAGAGTGGTTGTCGGGGGATCCGCGATGAATGGCAGGAGGAAGGCGTTGGCGGGGTTTTGCACTGCGGTCTCGTAGAGGACAGGGATGTTGTTGTGGAAGAGGTGGACTGTGTCGCTCTCTCCTTTTGGGGCGAATGGCACAGTGAAGTCATAGCGCAGAGCGTCAATTATGATAACAACGGCCTTGTCAAAGGTTTTCTCGTGCCAGCAGCCTTTCTGCTGTTTACTCCCCAGGGCTGTATTGTGTGGTTGAGCCAAACTGTCCTCGAAAGGCAGTACGTCGCATGATGATTTGTCCTCGAGGACCATGCGCGTGAGGAGGAACCCTTTTGTGAACAGATAAATACCGGCGACATGCAAGAGTCTGTCATTTATCCAGCGTCAGTTCGAATTTATTTTACGACAGGTCAAGCCTGCAGCGGGCCTTAAACCTCAGACTCTGCTAAGCTTAGGGAATCACTCACAGTATCCACGTTAAAACACCCATCACACCAAAATGATTCGCCTTGAACTCATTTTCAAGCTCCAGTGACTTCTTCTCCAATAGAGCAGCTTGCTTCCGCTTCTGCCCGTCAGATAACTGGTCGGAGCTGCGAGAGGTGGCAGCTGGAAGACCACTTTTGGGGCCGTTGGGGTTTGGACTAGTCCCCATAGTCCCTGCATGTGATGTGGCTACCATATCCGCGGTCTATTGTATGGTCTCAGGTCGAGGTCGCAGATCTGGCTGCTGGAGGCCGAAGGGGCACTGGAGGGGCCGTGGATGATGAACACGGTGTGTTTTTCAGGGGCAGGGAAGCCGGGAGCGAGCACAATTGAGCCGGTTGAGCCGGTTCAAGCAAGATCCATCGAAGTCGGAGAAAAAGTATAGGCGGGGCGAGGAGGTTGCGGAGGTTTGTACCCCTTTCTGTACTCTGTCGAACGGCTTCCCTATGTATCAAGAAGCTATAACATGCACATTGCTTGACGGAACAATGTGTGCAAAGCCCAATTAGGGGGAATGTGTTTAAGAAAAGAAATTAATTCGAGATTATGTGACAATCGCGGAACCCACGGGTTGGGGAGCTCGGAATCGGTGTTTCTGATTGGCCGGCCGTGGATACCCATACGGGAGATTCTCCAGATAGGTGAGATGCTGTGATATTGGTACTCAATTTTATCCTCAAATATAGAGAATTGATATAGGCCTAACTGTGTCCGGAATGGCCAGGGATTCGTGATGCTCACGACCCCTTTTGTGTTTCATACCCCACGTGGCTCGATATATTCTGAATGTCCGTACTCACACTGATATTGCCTATCTATCTTTGGGCGAAACATTATCTTTAGTCTCGCCAACCAGCAATATCTCGTATGTCCAAAACAGTTAAGAGCAGGTAGATTCCTTCAGTGGAGAATGCCATTATCGCTCATTCGTCGCAAAGACAGAGCCGCCCCGATCCCGCGCCATAATCCCCATTACATCTTGTAGTCACTCATTGGACCCCACACCGCCAACAATGAGTACCTGGTTGGAATCAACATGCGCCATTGCACGCTCAATGATCTCAACCAGCATCGCATATGCCGTCTCCTGCAAGGAGAAGTAGAGGTGAGCGCGAGTAGGTTTAACATTAGGATTCTGGTCAGCCTCTTTGCCAGTTATCCTCACATCAATCGAGGCTAAGATAACCAGAAAACGAACTGCCCATGCCCTTAACCACATATGGGGGATCAACAAACTGGCGCCCTTTCTTTGCGAGGTGCTCATTATTGCACCCCGGGAATGGCTTGTTGGGAATATGCAGCGTGTGTGCAAATCGATCCAGGCAGTTTCCAACAGCGATATCCAATGTCCGATTGAAGATACGCGTTTATCACTATACGCGGGTTATTACCACCAGGAACATATAGAACAACGGGATTACCAGCGCCAGTAATTAGACAGCCCATTTCAATGTCTAGGTAGGTAGAAATCCCCAAATTATATAAACCACTCTGCACATAGAGGCTTTAATGAAGCGGACACAGTCCACATCTTGCGGCGACAGGCATGCTTCTTGAAGAGCTGTCTTCACCATCTTGACAACCCATGCCCGGTGACGACACACCGTATCCTTAGGTAGGAAGTCCTCTCTCGACCTGTTGGGGCATTGTAGGAGTGTCGACTTCGCGAGAACCTGTGGTGTGCTGCGGTCTGTAGGATGTAGGATGATGCCGATTGCCACCTTGTTAGTAGATCTCTCCATTCCGATGGCGATTATGACGAATGACCAAGGATCCATTGATCGAATGTTGTTTTATACTAGATGTCAGTGGTAAGAGGTAGTTAGCCCGGCTTGACCAATTATTGGGATGGTTGATCTCTCAATCTGGAGATTTGTAGGGGGTGATCAGTTTCACTCTCAAGTGAGCAAAATGCGGCAATAGGTGAGGACTACAAGGGAATGAAAGACAAGAATTGCCAGGCATCCCTACATAGGTACACCGACTAGTATACACACAGAAAAAGAAGCAAAAACAAATATTTGAGAAAATGATAGATTTCAGATTTGCGTAAATGAACATAGGAGGACTAAGTACATACATTATCCAGCTGCCGGGTACCGGGAAAAAGGGCACATAAGAAGGGAAGTAAAATAGAGGAGGCCCCAGTAAAACGTAAAAATAGGACCCCATAAAGGGGATTGAAGAAGAGAAAGTCGAAAGCAGGAATGATGTCACATGTAGATCGGGCCCTAGGAACGTAGCAGGGGCGAAAGAGACATGAGGAACCAGGCTTAAGAAATGAAACGCCAGAAATCAGATAAAGAAAAAATCGGCAGGCCCTCGCTATGAACGATCCAGCTTCGATGAATATTGGAATCCAGGAGTACCCATGAGTCTGTCCAGAAACCGGGTATTCCAACAGTATGTATGCTTTGGAGGCCAAATAGAAACTGGAAGGCATATGTGCAAGCCGTGAAGGCCAGATCAGGGAAGGAAGGGTATGTAAATGGTAGAATCGCAAAAGATATTTGACAGGGTACTCGTCATGTTTTGAGAAGTCGTCGAAAATTGGAGAGAGAAGATTGAGCGCTATGCGGGCGATATATGCGGTCAGTGAATAAGGCAAGTTGGTTTGACAAGATGCTTTAATGATATGTCTTCCTCTCCTCTTTCTCCTTCAATCCACCCATCCGATCCATGTCCAGGGATTGGAAGCGACCGGTGTCGGTGGTTTGGTAAGGAGGAAGCTCCTCGTGGCAGGGTTCCAGGCCGACGCTGCCGGCATCACTGATGCGGACAATGACCATGCGGCCAGAAGTGCGTTTGCCGCTCGCATCTTCCTCCTCTGGGAAGGTAATGCGGATTTCGGGCACAGGGCTAGGTGGTGGGCTGTCGGAGTTTTCCATAAGGCTGCGTTTCTCATCATAGACAAGAATGGAGTCGGCTTTGTTCGTGGAAATGGTTAGACGGCGTCTGTTGGGGGACTGTCCGTTGTGGACTGGAAGCAAGTTTTGTTTACGCTGACGCTTGCGGCGAAGGACGAGCAGTCCACCGACCAGGGCAAGGGAGAGCAAAACGAGAACGAGGAGAGCAATGAGGAGGTCGACCATAGTATTTGAGAGTCCGCTATCGCTGTCATCATCGCGAGCAACGATGCGGGGAAATAGGTTGTTCATCTTGTTGATTGTCGGTTGTCGACGGTTGGATTTTTGATACCGTGTTGAGAATTGTATGGTCGGAAATCGACAGATATGTATGTGATCGACGAGTTCGGATTCCAAGAAAGGTCACGGAATGAATCCGGGGAAGTAAACAGTCAAAGGCGATGGAATGTGCGTGCGAATTATCGGTCACGGGTGTGGTCGAAAAAAGCCGAAGGGTCGAAAATGAGAGTGAGTAGGTTAAAGAAAGAATGGACACAAGGTGAGCCGCTGAAAGAGTGAAGCTGGCACCTGCGATGGAAAGAATGGAGGGGATGGGATGAGAATGAAGGGAAAATGGAAAAGGGAGAAGGGGAGAAGAGGAGTGTAAGCCTAGAACGCTTTGCTATTGTTAGTGTAGAGCTAAGCTATTCAGAGCTTAGTGGTGTTCCTTGGGTTGCACGGGGCCCCTTGGCGACAGGGGCCAACCAATCACAACCTTTCAGTGCCTGGAGAACGGACCCTCTGGAGGCTATTTGAGCCCTCTTACTGGTCAGGCTCCACTGAACTATGCCTGTTTATTTTGGTTCCCCTGAGATCCACGCTCATAAGTTCGCATAAATCTATGAAGTAGAGAGGATGTTATACATATAGATTTACGTCGTTTTCTTCAAGAGTAATTGATGTGTTGTATAAAAAAAGTAGGTCGTGGCTGGCGCTTAGTGTGGTCGCACAAGCGTGAATCCTTCGGGTTTGGGCTTATGGTGGAATAATACAAAGGCTAATTGTCTACATGGTATGATTTGAGCTCCCGATTTGTGCTCTCTCGAGATCGAGGCTTGTGCAAGAAGAAATCAGGAAATGAATGTTTCAGAAAATATGTGGAGGGAGATTAGATCTCATGCAGCTGATGCTCGAGGCATATAAACAAAGCCCTAGTACGCGTCAACCAAACACAACAACTATAGAGGTAAATAGCAACCATTGTTTGTTGTGACATAAACAAGAAGAAGCAAGGAAGAAATAGTTGACTTTGAAAGACGTGAGTTATTATATTCAACAAGGGAAGTTTACTTGGTCGTTGGAGTATGGCAACGTCTATAAACAAGATTAAGATCAACCACGAGTTAGTATGTTGTACATTTTTTATAGAATCTATTGGAATCTGATATGATGACCATAATTAATATATAGTTCTGTTCCTATTGGATTAATTCAAAATAAAGTAATGTGTCAAGCACTCGGGTGTCTTCCTGGGTGGATATTTATTAAAATTATTCATATTTTGGATATATATATCACAATGGAATAGGCTATATCCAAAGCAATTGTTTATAGTATAAGTACAGGCAACACAAGCCAGAGCACGGAGTAAATCTCCATACACCTGACATGCAAGGTAATTATAGCCACTGTTTGTCACATGCTAGATGTGTCAATATCCTGAACTGCAAGTATCCTTCTTGCATGGATTTTGCCGCCACACCGGGAACATACAGCACAAGAGCACGCGCCACAAATAGAACGCCCGGTTTCAATACAAGTTGACTTGGTGCGTGGATTTTCATTCTTGATATATTTGACTACTGGCAGGTGGGTATTAGTAAAGCTATTTCTTTAATATATCCTCCGTACGGAGTATAATGGGTCCATCTGTACTTGGGGGAAGGGACAACCTCAGCCTATGTGCTTGGGTAGTTTATTCCCCCTGCAAGTATTCGCCAACCAATATTGTATGCTTATTTGCAGAATATAATATGACAAGTGGTCTGTACGGAGTACTTTAAGTTCATACGTGGGGACCTTTAACTAGTTATTGCGTTGACACATGAGAGACATCAATGGAAGTACATATCGGGGTTTGGGGGTGATATGAACTAAACCTATTTAGTCGCTTCCCATACAAAAATCCAGAGGCCTAGCCTAGGGGACATGGAACAGATTTGATGCGTTACAACAAAATCCACTCCGGTTTTCTCTCGATACTGTCAAGACCTGACACTCGAGATGAAGAACACAACCAGCACCAGGTCACTATCAAAATTTGTCAACTGCACCGACTGACATGCCCTAGGTACATTCCAAGGTTATCTTGGTTATCTTGGCATACGTCGTAGTGGACAGACTCTGCATCTTTCATGATACGGTCAGGGGCGGCCAACACACAAATTGATACCTCACAAACTCGGAGAAAGGACGATCATCATAGGAAAAGCAACAACCCAGTACCCGGAAACTGGTAACGCGGCCAACGCCTGATAGTCACTGCAAGCCAGCGGTCATCGCGCCCGGGTTCACTGAGTGTTCCTAAGGCTATGGGCATTGGACGCAAGGCGGGCAATGCCCCTCAGAGATCAGATCCGGGGAAGATTTCTGCGAGTGATGGATGGCCTGACACTTGACCTGTGCAACCCCTGTGCAAGGACCCCAAGGCGAGTATCCTTGTCAGCCTGCAAGTTGTATGACTCTCCCTTTGCCAGTCTATGTCTCGGCCTTTTTCCAATCTCGCCGGGAGGGATTACACCGCGATGACTGGATACAGCAACGCGAATGGCAAATATTCAACACATGCTAGATGACAACCATTCTTTTTACTTTTTTTTTTTTTTTCAATGGGGTTCTATGGGCTTCTGACCCAGATGAGCAATTGCATCCCATCATTCAGCAGGGTGCATCCCACGCTTTTACCCACAAATTGATCCAAGGGTCAGCGTGATGATGTGCTGAAGCAAGGGGCTGGCCGAGTCTATGGAAGTCTACCCAAGTCGCGAACCTATTTTTCGCGGATATTCCTTCTGGACCTGGACCTCATGGCCCGAAGCGTACTTCTATCGATGATCGCGTGGGAGACTATTGCATGAGTCGCAGTTGGGGTTTGACTTGATCTATTGAGAGAATCAAGGGAGAAGACAATGCCAATACCAGCGCACGGCCGGATGAAAAACAGAAGATAAAAAGAAAACAAAAAGTCAAAAACACAAGAGCGAAACAAACACCCCCCTCCCATTGAGTTCCTGCCCAGACAGATAAAGTAAGCCAACGTCTTGCCAATCCTGGAATGGCAGGTTATCCACAGTTAGAAAGTGGCTCTTTCAAGAATGTTTCCGGATCCAACCGGAAGTTATACGAGACATTTAAAGAA